TCAGGTTTTATTAAAGATCTTCAGTCAAACAGCTGAAGAAAATAAAATAAATCAGGTTTTATTAAAGATCTACAGTCAAACAGCTGAAGCTGACAGAAACTCATCGTTCTCCTGAAACAGAACAAACAGAACCGTTTCAGTCTCCTCCCATCATCACGAAGAAATTTACTGGGGTTTGCTTAGATACTGATCTTAATTACACTACACACGGTTCTTAATTACACTACACATGGTTCTTAATTACACTACACACGGTTCTTAATTACACTACACATGGTTCTTAATTACACTACACATGGTATAGTCTTATTATGAGGAGAACTGTAATAACTGTTAAATGTTTGAAGAGGAAATAAAACTGTCTGTAAATTCAGTCATTGCAAGCTTACCTGCTACAAATCATCAAGATAAAGATCCCATTCTCCAGCAAATCAAACTGTTTTGTAAAGAAGGATGGTCAGATAAACACTCTACTGGCCGAGCATTTCAACCCTACCTTCAGGTGAGCTCACAGTTCAGAAAGGACCATTGCTGTTTGGAGGCAGAATAGTTATTCCAGCATCCCTGAGAGCAGACGTTCTCTCCAAGCTGCATGAGGGCCACTTGGGGGACAACAGAGTGCAGGGAGAGAGCAAACAGTCAGTTTGGTGGCTGGGACTTAGCAAAGAGTTGGCCCAAATGATGGAGAACTGTGACATCTGTGCCAGAGAGAGAACAGRTGTCAGAGAGACCTTGTTACCTACTAAACKTCCTGAGGGACCATGGTCTAAAGTTGGTGCTGATATGTTTCAGCTGGAAAACAAACATTATCTCATAATTGTGGACTAATGTTCATGGTTCTTTTGAAGTTGCTCAACTGACCTCCATTTCTTCAGAAGCTGTGATTTTACAGTTTCAGTCTATCTTTGCATGGACAATGGTTTCACAGTCTGCACAAGAGTGAAACTTCAGACATGTGACATCAAGTCCCTACTTTCCTCAGAGCCACGGGGAGGCTGAGAGAGCTGTTTGGACTGTACAAAATCTTCTTCAGAAATCCTCAGGTCTTGGTCTCATGGCCTACCGTGCAGCTCCTTTAGCAAATGGATGCAGTCCTACAGAGCTGCTCATGGGGAGGAAGGTAAGAGAGCGTCTCCATCTGTGTCTCTGAACTGCCAGGGGAAGTGTCAACATGGAACGACCTGTTGGATTCAGAGGTACGTTCTTCTGAAAGAGCCTACATTTAACAGACCTGAAACGTGCCTCAAACAGTTCTGAACGTTTTGAGCTTGTTCAAAATTCTGCGCTGGGATCTCCTTATGACAAAGAAGTGCCTCTTATATTAACGTGTTGGTAAGGTATCCTAAATTAACACCTAGCTTCCATCAACGTGTTGTGGTGTTTTTCATAAGGTGATGCTGAGCGTCACTGTGTGACTGCTGCTGACGTCACATTTTCTACCAACACACTGAGCAGAAGTTCTGCTAATGTTGCACATAGTGCTGCAGAGGTCCAAACGTTAGAATAAGCTTGGACACGTTATGTTTAAGGTAGGGATAATAACTGTTGGGTTTTATATATTTTTCAGTTGTTAGCAAGGCGGTATGATCACGTCCACATGAAGGTGCAAATTGATGCTTTTATAAATTTTCTTTAGTGTGCTGGACAGAATTTGCAGATTTCAACATGTCTTACCTATCATAGTGTGACACAGTCTTTACATTCAAATGGTTTTTGTCCTGTGTGGACTCTCATGTGTGAGTTTAAACTACTCTTCTGGCTAAATCTATGTCCACAGTCCTCACATACAAATGGTTTCTCTCCTGTATGGACTCTCCTGTGTGAGTTTAAATAAGTGTTCCAGCTAAATCTAAGTCCACAGTACTCACATACAAATGGTTTCTGTCCTGTGTGGACTCTCATGTGTTTGTTTAAANAATGAAAACATTGTAATGATTTTCTCTGTGATTTTTTTTATACCATTAATTAATCTTTTAGACACGATAAAAGAGAAGAAGTGGTTCCACTTTCTTGTGACAGTCATTATCATGATTTAACAAATGCATAAACATTCTTAGTTAAACAACAAATGAATCACGAACAGAAGACATTGTTCTGTCCATTATCTGATTAAGAGAACTGAGAAGTTCTCTTCTGGGTTGAAATAACCTGTCATGGCCTAAATAGAGTTCAGTCTGTGACAGAGTTCCTGCCTCCTCGTCAGGCCTGTGCGAGGCCTGCTTCAAGGCAGTAAATCTTGTTTCTTCACTCGAGGTGACCCCTACACTGCTAAAACCTTTTCTTGCATAAGCAACTTATTAAATCATTTGAGACCAAACTACGCAAAGTTCATTTTGTTTTATTCATGTGTTTCTGCCTTGGTGGAATATTTTCCATTACAGCTACACTAGCTTTTTTCAGCTAGCTGCCCTGTGTGTACTCATGTGTGAGTTTAAATTACCCTTCTGGCTAAATCTATGTCCAGTCCAACTCCTCGTACACAAACGGTTTCTGTCCTGTGTGGACTCTCATGTGTAAGTTTAAACTCTTCTTCCAGCTAAAGCTATGTCCACAGTCCTCACACACAAACGGTTTATGTTCTGTGTGGACTCTCATGTGTCTGTTTAAATTACTCTTCAGGTAAAATCTATGTCCACAGTCCTCACACACAAACAGTTTCTGTCCTGTGTGGACTCTCATGTGTGAGTTTAAACTACACTTCTGGATACATCTATATCCACAGTCCTCACAAACAAATGGTTTCTGTCCTGTGTGGACGCTCATGTGTGCCTTTAAATGACCCTTCTGACTAAATCTATGTCCACAGTCCTCACATACAAATGATTTCTGTCCTGTGTGGACTATCATGTGTACCTTTAAAGTATTCTTCCGGCTAAATCTATGTCCACAGAGCTCACACACAAACGTTTTCTTTGCTGTGTGGACTCTCATGTGTAAGTTTAAATTTGACTTTACAGTAAATCGTTTACCACATTCATCACAGCTAAATGATTTGGGTTGTGTCTGGACTCCTCTGTGTGACTCTACATGTTTCTTCTCTCTGACACTTTTCTTATGACTCAAACAGTTTGAAGGTCTTACTGTTGAATGACGTGTCATGTGTCTCTGAAGAGAGCTCTTGTGCAGAAATTGTTTTCCACACTCAGAGCAGCTGAAACTGTTGCTGACACAGTTTACACCTGACCCAGTGGCCCTGCTCTCCTTCCAGTCTTTGTCACTGTCTTCAGTTTCTGATCCAGAGTCTGACAAGTGTTCCAGCTGCGAATCAGGACTGTTCCCATCGTCCTCCTCCTCTTCATCATCCTCACTGACTTCAGTCTCTGAAGAGCTGGAAGC